CACAGCTCAGTTTTTTTTTTTACTTTTTTATAGATTTCTGTAAACTTATCAGTGAAACATGGAATGGAATGATGTTTGTTTTGACATTTTTTAAAGCATATTTAAGTATATTGTAAAATCTATAATAGAATAATATTTGTTTAACATTTTTAGATTGTAAACAAGTAGACTGTAAGATTTGCGATAGAATGATACTACTTTAGATTTTTGGGTTGTAAACAAGTAAAATTTCAAAATTGAAATGGAATGCTACTTGTTTTGTTTCTAAACTATGAACACATAGATTTAAAATCTCTAATGTAATGATATTGACTTCACCTGTTTAGACTGTAAGCAATGAAATTTGGAAACTTGATGCTAAAAAACCAACTCCAGTGTTGTGAATATTGTGCTGTGGGTATAAAACTTGTATTTTTTTGGGATTGTTGTTGAATATGTTTAGGTAGTTTTAAAATGAATATACACATTTGTTGGGTTTTTGCAGTTTGAAAATATTGTATTTAATTATACATTTCATGTATACCTGTTTTGTTGGTTATCTGTGACCTTTAATAAAACATTACTTTTGTTTAGGTTTAAAAAATGTATTACATTATTTAAAAATAAGGAAATAGAATTGTGAGTTCAGATTTTACCACCCAATGGTAGATCAACTTTGTCACCCACTGAAAAAGCTATTTTGACAAGTTTGCTCAAGTGTTGATATAAAAGATGCCAGTGTAGGTCTTAAGTACACAAAAACAATTAACTAAATCTACTAAAGAAAAAAATTGAATAAAATATTAACCAATTTGTATAAAATTTGATTAGCAGCAATTACATGCTGATCAAACAAAAGTGTGAGCTAGTTACTTGTGAGCATATTGGTTAAAATTGGTCTCAGAACATAATACTCCCTATACTGAGTATGAAAAGGGTAACATTTTTGTATAAAATTTGAATTTATCAACGTTTTATCACTTAGATGAATTAATAACTTACATTGTAGTGGATAACCACACTAGCCATTTCAATTATAGTTTTTTGTGAAGGTCAGGATATTAGTACCAAGTATCACAAGTGTTTACATTTTTGTCAATTAAATTTTTTTTATCACAGGACTCGTGAAGAAACTTTGTCACAGAATATATTAGTGCAATATTTTGTTTTAATACTTGTAAAAATGTATATTAATTTGTTGTTGCCCAAATCAGTGGTGTTTTTGTTTTTAAGAGCTTATTAAGATTTTGTGGTTTTTGGAATACTTGTATGGTAGAACTTTTTATCAAGTTGTACATTTTTAAACTATTCTTCTTTTTTATGTGAGGTATACGAAGAGGCAACATTTTTGAATGTGCAGTTTTAATTTGATTTTCTTTTCTTTTTTGTTGGCAAAAGAAAATTTTTTTATATAAATTTTAAAATCATAATTAAAAAATGTACGAGCTGTTGCATGTGTGTGTATGGAGCTAAATCCTTATTCTGAAAAGTCTTGTCAATTACACACAATTCAAAACATAAACTTAAAAAAATAATTGAAATGGCTAAATGAAACGGACGTACTAAAATTATAGAAATAGAAAAAAAAAAGATAAATTGGCTGAATGTAAGAATAATTCTTTCTACTATTTTTTTCTTCAGAATTATATGAAGAAGCCTTGTCCCTAACATGCAGCTTAACCTGTAATTTCATCTCTCCAGACTCGTGGAAAGTGTTTGAAATGATGTATCTCATATTCCAGAATAATGGAATTGAATATTTTACAGGTTTGAGATTCAAGTGTTTTAAATTTATTAATGTGATGTACATAATATTAACCACGAGATACAATTTGTTAGTTGGAAACTACAAATAGCAATCCATTTTTCACCTGCCATATTTATATGTCAATATGATTCATAATATATTTATAAAGGTGTGTCTTAGATTATGTAAATCATTTTTGGCTTATTATTAGCTAAGAAACATAAATAACATGTAAAGAATTGAATATCTATTTATTGAATTAATATTATTTTGAACATATACATAGCTCTGCATTCAAAATATCTATATAATTAAAGTAGCATTCTCTGTCATTCTGTGTGTCAGTCAATGCATGGACTGAGAAAAACTGTGCCTGGCATTAGACTTCATTAACCCTTACGCTGCCAGTATAGAGATCTTATGAAGTGGAGGTATGTACAAATTGTCTAAAGTGTTAAAACTAATATAAATAGATAGTATTTATCTCCCTCTATTTTATACATTACCTTTATCGATGACATGCATATAATAATGTATCTTCCATTTACTGAAAAACATAATGAAGACTGTGAAGTTACATTTATATGAATACAAAGGTACGACATTTAGCATACATTGTCAAATGATGAAACTAAAGATACTGTATCATTTATGAATACAAAGTTACGACATTTAGCATATGTTGTCAAATGATGAAACTAAAGATACTGTATACTTTATATGAATACAAAGGTACGACATTTAGTATACATTGTCAAATGATGAAACTAAAGATACTGTATCATTTATATGAACACAAAGGTACAACATTTAGCATACGTTGTCAAATGATGAAACTAAAGATACTGTATAGTTTATATGAATACAAAGGTACGACATTTAGCATACATTGTCAAGTGATGAAACTAAAGATACGGTATCATTTATATGATTACAAAGGTACAACATTTAGCATACATTGTCAAGTGATGAAACTAAAGATACGGTATCATTTATATGATTACAAAGGTACAACATTTAGCATACATTGTCAAGTGATGAAACTAAAGATACTGTATATAAAACATTAACTTTAAAGACAGTTACTTAAGTAAAGTAAACAAATACACAAGAAAATGCACTAAGGTAATTCATTACTTTTCTGTGATTTATAATGAACATAATATCCTTAAGTAATGAGAACAAAAAGTAAAACTTAACCTTAATAGTCACTACTGGTACCACAACTTCATAAATTTTCATTTTTCTGTACTTAAAATATGAAGGAACCTTCACCTCTAATAAATTGCATGAAAGAAAATAACTCCAGGTTTCAGATGATACATATACAATTTAGACATCTTTGAAACAAAAAAATGGAGAAAGTTGCTTTTTTATACTTCTTACCACCATGATTTTAATAATTTCAAAACTATTACATGAAGAAAATACAGTTGTGGTAAGATTACACGTTGGTGGCATTTTATTGTCTGTGCTGGTGAGATATATACTTATATCCACTATCTCAAAACAAATTCCACTGCTCTAAAAATAACAAATAGCATAGGTGATTTGGAAAGGGTTAAACTATACAACCACTGATGTGCCCCAGCTCTATATTTAAGGCCACCTACTTGGTATAATGAAGGTGTTGGTAAAAGATGTTGAATACACTGAAAAATAGGGTGTTCGTATAGATGTATATTTTTGTAATACGTAGATATTGCATGCATAGTTTTACCTTTAATGACTTCATTACACAGAGCTACATTTGTCATTTTATAAAGAGTTACCCCTAGTAAAATATGTTGAATACACTGAAAGATAGGGTGTTCGTATAGATGTATATTTTTGTAATACGTAGATATTGCATACATATTTTTACCCTTAATGACTTTATTACACAGAACTACATTTGTCATTTCATAAAGTGTTACCCCTAGAATATACATAGAAAAACACAACTGAGACATTAGGAGTCATATACTTCATGAAATATATAAAAACAACAGATATGCTAGGGATACGCTATGAATCTATATTTTAATGAATCAAATAAGTCAAGTAGAATTACAGAAACATGTATGAGAAATGGCAGATTTGATTTTTACCCTTCCTTCTGAAGTATAATATCCTAATGATTTTAGAATCTCTTTCAGTTTGAGTTTGATCCAGTACCATGCCCTATGAATAAAAAAGCATATCTTTATTAGTATATTTTGAGATTTTTATTTGTATTAAAAGCACCTGATTTCTTTTTGTTAAACTACTAGCTACACAATTTTATTTTTTATGAAACTGATGTGCTCTGATTCTTGGTTTGAAATGAAACAAGTAAAAACATAATAAAAATTAAAAAAGTATCCAAAGATAAAATTAGGATCCTGAGCATACAAATCATGTACATAAACATATTTTCACATGGTAATTTCAACATACATATACATTGGCCTATATGCGACAATGTAAGATGCTCAGTACAACATAGCAGTGGCTCTAGTAAAGGAACAGTTGGTTCTCATAGCTATTTAAATCAATCTTAAAAATCATAATGCTTTCAGACCATTACATTCACCTTCTGCAATGAGCGATCTTCTCTTTAGTGTTGGGATGATACAAAAAGATACTTGATTAAAGCTTGAATGTTTACTTAGATACATTAGCACAAGGAATGATTGTAATGTGCTGCAGGATTTGAGAATGTAGATTTGAAACTTCTTTTGCATGCACTCATTTTCCTTGAACTAAAATTCAAGGAGACTAAATATGTTCTCTTCTTTAATTAAATATGAAAAAATGTAGTTAAATCTCTGCTCTTATGATGCTGTCTGATGATTTAGTAACACTGTTTAATAGTAGCAAATATTCTTCATGTTTCAGATATGATGCCAGCCCTGCATAACTTTATTAGGGTGGATTCGTCAACTTTTCTAAGTAACCACAACCACTTACTAGCAATATACGAGATGTGCAACATGGTAATATTGCCCTCATTATATAAATTTATAGCAGGTGTAGAAAATTCTAAATTCTCTCTCTCTACTTGTCCACATAACAGCCTTGTAACATTATGAAAGTTTATAATTGTTTGTTATTTTTTCATGCTCTGCAGTAGTCTATACGAAGTGAAGTTATAAGATTTAAATATTTTGTTGCACCCAAATGCTAGAGAAATGTAAGGTGATAAGTTTGTAGGTAGTTGTTTAATATATATAAATGTTCTTCTTTTAGGTGGTTTATTTATGTATGTAATTAAGTGAAGTTATAAGATTTAAATATTTTGTTGCATCCAAATACTGGAGAAATGTAAGGTGATAAGTTTGTAGGTAGTTGTTTAATATATATATAAATGTTCTTCTTTTAGGTGGTTTATTTATGTATGTAATTAAATGAAGTTATAAGATTTAAATATTTGGTTGCATCCAAATACTAGAGAAATGTAAGGTGATAAGTTTGTAGGTAGTTGTTTAATATATATATAAATGTTCTTCTTTTAGGTGGTTTACTTATGTATGTAATTAAGTGAAGTTATAAGATTTAAATATTTTGTTGCACCCAAATGCTAGAGAAATGTAAGGTGATAAGTTTGTAGGTAGTTGTTTAATATATATAAATGTTCTTCTTTTAGGTGGTTTATTTATGTATGCAATTAAAAGTTTGTTTCATTTTATTTTGCTAATATATTTATTTAGCTACTTTTTCTAAATGAAAGGATAGAAATGATGTAAAAAGCTTATAGTTCGTAATTTTTTTTATTTCACTTATAATTCTCTTTTACAGTTACATGGATGTATTATAATAGTGTATCTGTGAAGTACTTTTCTAGTTAATTAGTCCTGAATATAAAAATTAAACTAATCATACGTAAACCCAAATATAGTAAAAATGATTACATTAAAAGTTACCTCTTGTACCTCACACATTTCTGCTTTGTATTAACTGGTATTAGTAAAAGTAGTTATTAAAGGTTTTCACAGTTAACATTGGTTATTTCATGGTAGGTGCTGAGGGGTAATGTTGGCGAGGATGCCGAGTGTCATGCTGCTAAGCTCCTGGAGGTGGTGATTTTACAGTGTAAAGGACAGATAGATCAGGTCAAGCCTTTTCCTGGGTAATAAAGTACATTAAGTTAGAGCATTATTACAAGAATTTAAAGCTGTGGGATTGGTCAATGACTGAGTGTACAGAGCACTATGTGTTTGAAAATTTATGGAAAACATTTTGATTATTAGTTACTGTATTATGAGTAAGCTTTTTAAATCATTGGACATACAACCTGACTAGAATTTTTTTTACTTTGGTTATGCACTAGTTACTAAAAGTGTTTCTAATCAATTTCTTTAGTGATATTTTCAGTCATTAAACGTTTTTGTTAATCATCCTCAGATTTTGTTATTCTAAGCTTATCTTAAACATAGTTTTTCTTCTCATTGTTAATCTAATTTCTAGAGCTTGTTGCAGTTATCTCAGATAGGCCTTAGTGATACAATTTCCAGAATATATATATATAAGTATTCTCTTCCAAACAAACATGAAGTACATGATATTTAAATTAGATTAATGGAAAAAGTTTTTTTTAAAATAATATATCATGTAATCACTGAGTTATATCCTATTTAATAGAATTAATAAACCATTACGTTTGTTTAGGTAAATAATACAAAAAGTTGAATAATTCGGGATAATGGAACAGTGGATAAGCTCAACAATTGGATGCAGATAAGGTTAGGAATGAAACAAAAGTAGCCAAACACATCTTTAGGTTCAAAACAATAGGCATTAACCAGAAAGCCTGCTTGTGACATATATTTACAACCATTTTTTTCACCAAACTTAAAATCTTGAAAGAAAAGAGATTTTAAACCAAAGAACACTAAAATATGATATACTGTTGGTATTTAGTAAGTTTCACAGACATTACTTTGGTGTGTACAGTTGATTTAGTGTTATTGTTGTTTACAGTCAAGTAAAAATGAAGTGAAGAAAAAAAATGAATTACTCCATCATTTTTCTAGCATTACATATTTTGCCTCACGTCCAAGTATGAAAAAAAAAAGTTTCATTAAACATTTAAAGAAAGAGATATTCTCCAAATGCAAACTAATTTTCACAAACAGGTGTTTGAATAGTGTTAAAACTCCTACTCAGGGTGTTTTATCTGATTATTTCATCATAAGTAAAGAACTACCAACGCATACACATCTGTTGACATCTTCACTCCAATTCCCAGATAATTCTCAGAACATACGATGAAAAGTAAATAAGAATATATTTTATGAACATCTGCCATATCCAGTATCATTGAGGCTTTTCATCCAGTACTAGGGCTGATCAGGCCAGCTGGGATACGACACATAGTAATGGTCGAGGTGCTATTTAGGTCATCACCTTTCATGAACAACAACTGTTATGGTGTGAATTAGATTAAATAAATTATAATTATTACTAATATGTTATTCTGATATGCATGTAGACAATATGTTAAAAATCAGTTTTAGTCTTCCATGTATACAATAATGGGAAAACCTAAAAATTTACACCAACAGAGGCCCATAATACAGTGGGTAAACTTTTCTAAGGTTAGCTAAATCAAATCAACAATAATAACAAAAATAATAGAACTGATATTAAAAGGAAGAAAAACCTCCACCTTTAAAAGTTTTTATTTGTTTTTCTTTACAAAATAAAAAATAGATGAGTCAGACTACTTTTTGGAGGTTTTGTTCAAAGTAATCAAGCTTTATATTTTCACAAATTCAGATTCTAAAATCAGACATAAATTCTGAAATTGAAATAAAGTAACACAGTGACTGAAACTGTTAGTTTGTATATGAATTTTCCCAAAATTTTGGAAATGGTGCAGATGCAGGATTGATAAACTAGGGCAATGTAATACTGCATTTTCAACACTGCGATTAATATTGTAAAACATTTTAACCATGAGTTACTTTAGTTTTACTGAGTCGAGTAGTGTTTTAGCTTTTTACTGCAGTAACAAACTTAATTTTATACAGATATTTTTATAAATTTTTTTACTGCAATTAAAAACTGAAAACATTAAACTGCATTGTACATTTAATTAGTCAAAACAAAACTGAAACCCATTATTACTTCAATGTTTATATTAATGAGTTTTGCTTTATTAGTTAATTAAGTTAACTGATACCATTTTTATGTGTTTTAATTTGAAGCAGTGTATTCCATCATTTGTGGAATTGGTTTTGGAAAGGCTAACCCGGGAAGTAAAAACTTCAGAGCTTCGAACCATGTGTTTACAGGTTAGTCCATTAAACCAATAGACAAACAGAAGAAACTGTTCATCATACTTTCTGTAGGTAAATTAAAATAAGCAAGAGACAAACAAGTAAAAAGGTTAAAAGCTTTTTTAGTAAATCCAATATATAGACAAAAAATATATATTAGAGATTTGTATCCTGCTTATATATATATATATATATATATATGTAAATTCACTAAGTAAAAAAAAAGTCTGAGCTCCAAACCTTGTTATTACAATAAATTATATTAAAGCAAGAGCAAATAAGTGAAGTGATGGAACTTCAGACCTTGAGTAGAGCTAAATCCACAAAAATTGGGTTACTGAATCTATGGACAAACCCATTAAAGCAAGAGATAGACATGTAAATCTCAAAGCTCTAATTTCTATAGGTACTGTATACTAGATATATATCTAGTTGTGGGTTTGGTTGATGTGGACGTTTTTAAGTGCTCTGTACTACAAGTGTACCTGGTTGTAGGTTTTGTGAATATTTGTGTTGCAAATCATCCTAACTGATAGTTCATAGCTACTCTCTATTAACCCTTTTGCTGCATTGTCCGAAGCATGATAGTTGTATATGTGTGGTGCTATAGAATCTATACTTATATGTTAACCTTCTTTCCCTATATCCTGACGTAGATATATGTGCCTTGGCTACACATATAATGTATCCCAGGAGAATCCCTAGGTTTTATAGAGGTTCATGTGATCAACACAACATCAACTCCTGACTATTGCTTATCTTCAGCAAGATGATTCTTTCATAGAAGTTTTTTGGATAAATCTTGGGAGCTTTCCTTGCAGTCAGTGCTTTACTTTGGCAGCTGCATAACAGTGTATAGCAAAAATAAACTTGAAAAAAAAAAATCACGCATTCCCTTATACAAGAGGTATTCTTTCCTATCATCCCAGAAAAATCAAAGCAGTGAATGTCAGAGAATCCACAAGATTTATCCAAGATAAGGTTTGAATACTTGATGCATGAAAGGTGTATTCAAGATGTGCTATATCATGATGAATAAGATATGTAACTGAGAGCAGTAGGTGTTAAAATTCCACAATCTGATTTTTAAATGCTACTAAAAGAGGAATGAATATGATTTCACAAAACAAAGGATTCTACCATGACATCATAAAAAAAACCTGTTTTAGTGGCTTTTAAACTATGTAGTGAAAACTGCAACATTCTAACAGTTACCAAAACAAATTTCACACAGGGAGTAAACATTCAGTGAATAAGTTAAACACCTGCCTTGTTATTATATAGGTTCTGATAGTTGTCCTGTTTGTAAATTCATATTTTTACTCTGGATGTTTTTAGCTATCTTTGCATTACAGATCTACATTGTTTTTAATAATGTAATTGATAAAACTGCTCTGTATTATTACAATTATACATTGTTAATTTAAGTGTTAACACCTGCTCATATTATTACAAATATACATTGTTCATTTAAGTGTTAACAGCTACTCTGACTTACATTGTTTACTGTATGTAATTAAAGCTTCTTTGTATAATAAGTATTAAAAACACAGTAATACCAAAAAACATCTTTAATACAGACATTTCGAAATTTCCTTAAATTATATCATCAACGTTAATATCTCAAAAAAGTTAGTTCATATTATTTGAACTATAAAAAACAACATTAGCATTGAGCATGTTTTGTATTCAATCGGAAGTTTAGAAAAAACAGATTTAAACAGTGACACTATAATGGAATGTACAATAAAACATGTGACATACACATGTTTAACAAATAACATTGTTAAGAGAAACTATTATAGAGAAAGGCTTAAATATAAGTATAAACATTATTAAACACTAAATAATAACATCAGTTCCTCTCTGTTTTCATTAATTTAATCAATTTCTGATTCTCAGTTTTTAT